GACATGCCAGATGCTTTAACAATAGAACACAGCAAGGGCAGTGGAGTTATTCAGGAACCCTGGGTGAAAGCCTGTGGAAATACACACAACACCGCTAACACCAAAGCAGGCAACTTCTACACATCTATGATACCACAACACCACAGAAGGCAAATCACAAAGAGAGAGGGTAGATTGGTGGTTGCCAAAGGCTTGTGGGTAATGAAGAGTGATGACTTATTTTTTTTTTTTTAGAGACAGGGTTTCACCATGTTGGCCAGGCTGGTCTCGAATTCCTGACCTCAGGTGATCTACCCACCTCAGCCTCCCAGAGTGCTGGGATTACAAGCATGAGCCACTGCACCCGGCCTGAAGACTGATGCTTAATTGGTACAAAGTTTTATCTGGAGGGGATGAAAAATGTTGGAATAGGCTGGGAACAGTGGCTCATGCCTGTAATCCCAGCAATTTGGGAGTTTGAGGCGGGTGGATTACCTGAGGTCAGAAGTTCGAGACCAGCCTGGCCAACATGGTGCAACCCCATCTTTACTAAAAACACAAAAATTAGCTGAGTGTGATGGTGTGCACCTGTAATCCCAGCTACTTGGGAGGCTGAGGAGGGAGAATTGCTTGAACTCAGGGGGCAGAGGCTGCGGTGAGCCGCGATTGACCAGTGCACTCCAGCGTGGGTGACAAACTCCATCTCGGAAAAAAAAAAAAAAAAAAAAGGAAAATGTTAGAATAAATAGTGGCGATGTATGTACAACACTGTGAAGGTGCTGGAAGCCACAGCCTTGTACCCTTTAAAGGGGCTAAAATGATGGATTTGACGTCAAGTGCATTCTCCCTTGATAATGATAAAAAAGAACAAGCTTCTGGGATGTAAGGGCCTCAGGACTCTCAGCAGCTGAAGATTCCTCAGTTGCCAGGGCTCCCCCGACCTCCTGCGGGGATGTGGTGACGGTAGACCCTGTGCCGGTCACTGGAGTATCGGGATGGTGGGAGGAGGGGGCAGATACTGTGTCGTGTGGTGGCAGAGCCACGAACCCAGCAGGGCACCCGACGCACAGAAGAGGGAGGAGCCGAGGAAGCCTTCACAGAGGCAGTGACGTCTCAGTACCGTCTGGAAGGAGGAGTAGAAGTTCACCAAGCAGACTGAGAGGTAGGGGGCTTGAGGACACCCAGGGAGGAGCTGGGGACAGCAGGAACGGGACACCCAGGGAGGAACCGGGGGCCGCAGGAACGGGACACCCAGGGAGGAACCGGGGGCCGCAGGAACGGGACACCCAGGGAGGAACCGGGGGCCTCAGGAACTGGACACCCAGGGAGGAACCGGGGGCCGCAGGAACGGGACACCCAGGGAGGAACCGGGGGCCGCAGGAACGGGACACCCAGGGAGGAACCGGGGGCTGCAGGAACTGAAGCTGGATAGCGCCAGGTCCCAGGGCCCCTGGTGCCAAACCCAAGGCCTTGCACTTGATCTCTGGAACAGTAAAGGCCATTGAAGGTAAGTTTTAAACAGGCGTGTCATGTTCAGGGTTAGGCTTTTAGGGTGTTCTGATATCCTGTTCTTGGTGGGTAGATTCAAAAGGATAAGCCTGGAGGCAGGGGCGCTCCGTGCTCACCTGTGCTCGGCGCCCGCGTCTGCATCGCTTCCATCACCTTCCAGCAGCCCTCCCGGCTGCCTTCACTTCCCTCCCACTCTGCCGCTCTGCCGGCTGAGCGCCGGGTTCTCCCATCCAGGTGCCCACTCGACCACTCCCCTGGAGGGCCTCAGGCTCGACAGTCCAACCTCCATCACCTCCCACCCAAACCCACCCTCTCCCAAGACTCGGTGGGCTTGGCTGGGACCCCAGGGGCTGCGGGGATGTCAGTCATTCCTACTGAATACCTGTCATGAGCCATGCTGGGTGGTGAAGTTTAATATTAAAAGGGCAGATTTGGCCGGTGCAGTGGCTCCTGCCTGTAATCCCAGCACTTCATTAGGCCGCTTGAGCCTAGGAGTTCGAGAACAGCCCGGGCAACATAATGAGACGCTACAGAAGGAGCAGAATTGCAAATAAAAAAAGAGAGAAAGAGACCCTGTCTCTACAAAGAAAACACAAAACTTTGCTGGCCGTGGTGGTGCATGCTTATAGTCCCAGCTATTCTGGAGGGGCTGAGGCGGGAGGATTACTTGAGCCCAGGAGGGTGAGACTGCAGTGAGCTGTGATTGTGCCACTGCACTCCAGCCTGGGCAACAGAGCCAGATCCTGCCTCAAAGAAAAGAAAAGAAAAGAAAGGGCTGGTACAGTGGCTCACGCCTGTAATCCCAGCACTTTGGGAAGCCAAGGATGGGCAAGTCACCTGATGTCAGGAGTTTGACACCAGCCTGGTCAACATGGTGAAACTCCGATTCTACTAAAAATACAAAAAATAGCTGGGCATGGTGGCGGGTGCCTATAAACCCAGCTACTCAGGAGGCTGAGGCAGGAGATTTGTTTGAACCCAGGAGGTGGAGGTTGCAGTCAGCTGAGATTGCATCATTGCACTCCAGCCTGGGTGATAGGGCAAGACTCTATCTCAAAAAAAAAAAAAAGAAGAAGAAACAAGTGATAATTCTCCTTTCCCCTCTCCTTTGCAGTTTGGTGTGTGTCCTTCAAAACACTGTGGCCATTCAGCCCCTTACATTATATGCAAGGAGGGGATAAGCGTAGATATATCTATATTCTGTATCTTGCTTTTTTCACTTACAAATGTATCATCCTTTCATGTCTGCCATTCTATAAAACCATCTCATCTTTTTTCTTTCTTTCTTTTTTTTTTTTTTTTTTTTTGAGACAGAGTCTCGCTCTGTCACCCAGGCTGGAGTGCAGTGGCGCTATTTTGGCTCACTGCAGCCTCTACCTCCTGGGTTCAAGAGATTCTTCTGCCTCAGCCTCCCATGTAGTTGGGACTACAGGCACACGCCACCATGCCTGACTAGTTTTTGTATTTTTAGTAGAGACAGGGTTTCACCAAATTGGCCAGGCTGGTCTTGAACTCCTGACCTTATGATCCGCCTGCCTTGATCTCCCAAAGTGCTGGGATTACAGGCGTGAGCTTCCACACCCAACCTTGTTTCTGGTTCTCATGAGTCTGAGGGACTTCTTCTACAGATTAAAGGGGTGTGGCAGAGATGACTTCTCAGCTAGGATGGTCTCCATCTTGGGGTGAGTGGAACAGGTGATCCCGCTGGGTTGGGTGGGGTGGGAATGTGGGTGTGACTGGGCTCTGGGTGGCACTTCGCCCCCGCAGATGTGACCCGGTTTGTTTGGTATTCCTCCCTCCGTGGCCTCCGCTGCCACCCTCCTCCTGTCCCCGTCCTTCAGGGCAGAACCAGCAAATCAGTCACTGCCCCTCAAGAGCACCTTCACTGGTGCTTTCTTTCCCTAGGATTTTTGTCTTTTTTCATTTTTTTTCCCCTTTAAACTCAGTGGCAAAAATCCCTAGGACTTTTGGTCCAACGGTGGCAGTTATCACTAAGTGGTTTATTTCCTTGAGACCAAGCCAAGGGTCTCAGAGCCGATGCTGCTGGTGGAACTCTTCTGTCTGAATGAGATAGATTGGATACGTTTGGATCCTTCCAGCTGCGTCCTTCTGATCAGTGCAAAGCAGACTTTTTTTTTTTTTTTTTTTTAATAACATTTTGAGCAATACCATCTGAGGCTGGCTGGCTGGAGGCATGGGGAGATGGCAGGCAGGCAGTGGAGCCTGGCTGAGGGTTTTCTCAGCAGTAACTTTCTTTTCCCCTTCCTTTGCCTGGTCCTGCGTGTGAGGGGATTAATTGTGGGGTTTTTTTTTTTTTTTTTTTTTGTTTTTTTTAAGATGGAGTCTCCCTCTGTCACCCAGGCTGGATGACAGAACTGCCTCAGCCTTTCAAGTAGCTGGGATGGCAGGAGTGTGCCACCATATCTGGCTAATTTTTGTATTTTTAATAGAGATGGGGTTTTGCCATGTTGGCCAGGCTAGTCTCAAACTCCTGACCTCAGGGGATCCACCCACCTCAACCTCCCAAAGCCATGAACCTTCCAAAGGCGTGAGCCACCGCACCTGGCCGAGGAAATTAATTTTTACCTGCATCTCAGGGTTATCGAGTAACAGGCCGGCTGGGTTTATGGGCCAGCATGTTCCCGGTGGCAGCTGCTCACCCATTAACACTTCTGGAAGTGCTGTGTGTCTGGTTAAACTGTGAATGCTTTGCAAAGTCATGAGTCATGTCACTGAGCAGAGGTGAGACTGCCAGCAGCCCTGCTGTGTACACTGATAGAATGAGCGAGCGAGCTTCCCACCGATGGAATCCAAATGGAACTGTCACTGCGGTGGCGATGGTGGGGCCACTTCTGCATTGCGTCCTGCTCTACCCCTTCACTGGCTGTGTAATGGCAGATGGCCACTTCCTAGACTCGAATGAGACATTGCCTACTTGGTGTGGCTGCTGTGAGCGTGAAATGGGATCATGTGACAAACAGCCACGCATGGTCCTTGGTGTTTGACAGATCTTGGGTCCCTCTGTGGTCCCAGGCAGACCTTGGGGGTGGGACGCCGAACAGGTGGTCAAGTTGAGGGGCTTGGGACTGTTTCACTGGTCTGAAAAAGAGCAGAAACGTTGGCAGCAGGACTCTGTTGTCCAACATGGGGCTGTCTCTGAGCCTGGGCTGTCATGGCTGGAAGTGAGACATACGCAGGAGTCACCCTCCCAAGCCCTGCTCGGTCCACTCACAGACCAATGGCCAAGGGAGAACATGGCTGCCCTCCACAGCTGTGTCTTCAGTGGTGAGGCGTTCATCCCAATGCTCTATGCTTCTTATACAAATTAGATATAGGTGAAGCCACCCATGAAGCAACCCAGCCTTTCTGGGACTATTCAGGTTGCCTCTGGGTCCACTAAATGCAATTAATTTCCCCCAAGTCCCCTCCAAGTTCTAGGAGGAGGCTCCCTCCCCTCCTCCCCCCACTGACTTCTCCCAGCCTCCCTGACTCCTGTACTCTGCGATCTGCTCCCCACCACGGGGTGAGGAAGACGAGCTACACTGTGATGCAGCTGCCCTGCACGCAGCCACATTGTGGGCTGGAGATGCCACTGTCCTGCTCGGTTTAATGATCAATTAGTTCCCTGCCAGGAAGCCCTTTCTGACCTGGTTTGCCCCTCAGTCCCTCCGGCTCGGACCTGGTGCTTGCAGCAGGACAGCCATGGCCGCCAACGCCACCAGCGACCTCCACGCTCCCGGGACGCAGCTGAGCGTGTCTGACATCATCGTCATCACCGTGTATTTTGCTCTGAATGTGGCCGTGGGCATATGGGTAAGGGGAACTGTCAGGGCGGCCAACTGGGCTCTCAGGGTGGGTGCTTGTGGTGGGAACCCGGGTTCAGCGTGTCCCTGTGGTGTCAGCATTGGTCCCACTGTGGTCCTCCTCCCGGCCTGGGGTAGATTTGCTTGGAGACCTTGACCAAGCCCTTTCTTTCTTTGGGTAATGGCAAAGTGAGGAAGAGGAAGGTCTCTCTAACAAGTAACTGGACTTTTGCGCTGCTGCCCAGCTGGAGTCCCTGGGCTTGGCCCAGCAGCCTCCTGGTCCCAGTCTCCACGGTGTAAGTGTCTCCCGTCTGCCCGAGCAGTAGGCTCCCAGGGGTTCCCTGGCTGCATCTCAGAGCTTCTGGATCAGAATCTGGAGGCAGGGAGGACCCGGAGCTGGGGACCTTGATTTTTATTTTTTTTATTTTATTTTTATTTTTATTTATTTTATTTTATTTTATTTTTTTAAGAAAAAGAATAAAGAAGAGGAAGAAAGAGAAAGAGGAAGAGGGAGAGAGAATGGGGGTATTGCTTTATTGCCCGGGCTAGAATGCAGTCTAAATATGGGTATGCCTATAATTGTCCTTAATAATGGAGATATAAAAGAAAATGAGGGAAGAGAATAACAAACAAGGAGCCAACCAAGATTTCTTTTGAACTTCTAAGTTGATATGATGTGGTGCTGATAAGAGTGTATATTTTGTATATTTAAAGTGGAGAGTTCTATAAATGTTAATTACATTTACTCGTTCCAGATCTGAGTTTAAGTCCTGAATATCGTTGTTAATTTTCTGTCTCATTGATCTGTCTAATATTAATGTTGAAGTCTCCCACTATTATTATGTGGGAGTCTAAGTCTCTTTATAAGTCTTGTATGTCTGCGTATTCCTGTATTGGGTGCGTATATATTTAGGATCTTTAGCTCTTCTTGTTGTTGCATTGATCCTTTTATCATTATATAATGTCCTTCTTTGCTTCTTTTGATCTTTGTTGCTTAATTGTAACTTCTGCTTTTTATTTATTTATTTTAGCTCTCTGTTTGGTTGGTAAATCTTTCTCCATCCCTTGTTTGGAGTCTTTGTGTATCCTTGAATGTGAGATGGGTCTGGATGCAGCATACTGATGGGTTTTAGTTTTTTATTCAAATTGCCTGTCTTTGGATTGAGGGATTTAGTCAATTTAAATTTAGAATTAATAATAATATATGTGAGTTTAATACTGCCATTAGCTGGCTATTTTGTCCATTAGTTGATGTAAATTCTTCATTATATTGATGCTCTTTTTGATAATTTTTTTAGAAAGGCTGATACTGTTTGTTCCTTTCTATGTGTAGTGGTTCTTTCAGAAGCTCTTGTAAAGCAGGCCTGGTGGTGATGAAATCTCTGAGTGCTTGCTTATTCACAAAAAACTTTATTTTTCCTTCACTTGTGAAGCTTAGTTTGGCTGGATGTGAAATTCTGGGTTGAAAGTTCTTTTCTTTAAGGATGTTGAATATTGGCCCCCACTCTCTTCTGGCTTGTAGGGTTTCTGCTGAGAGATCTGCTGTAAGTCTGATAGGCTTCCCTTTGTGGGTAACCTGACCTTTCTCTCTGGCTGCCCTTAGTATTTTCTTCTTCATTTCAACCCTGGTGAATCTGACGATTACGTGCCTTGGAGTTGCTCTTCTTGAGGATTATCTCGGTGGTGTTCTCTGTATTACCTGGAGTTGTATATTATCCTGCCTTACTAGGCTGGGAAAATTTTTCTGAATAATGTCCTGAAGCGTATTTTCCAGCTTGGATTCATTCTCTTCGTCACATTCAGGTACACCTATCAAGCGTAGATTAGGTCTTTTCACATAGTCCCATATTTCTTGGAGACTTTGCTCGTTCCTTTTTATCCTTTTTTCTCTAATCTTGTCTTCTTGTTTTATTTCATTGAGTTGGTCTTCGGCCTCTGATATCCTTTCTTCTGCTTGATCAATTCGGCTGTTAAAACTTGTGCATACTTCACGAAGTTCTCCTATTGTGTTTTTCAGCTCCATCAATTCACTTATGTTCCTCTCTAAATTGTGTATTCTTGTTAACATTTCGTCAAATCTTTTTTCAAAGTTCTTAGTTACTTTAGATTGGGTTAAAACAAGTTCTTTTAATTCACAGAAGTTTCTCATTATCCACATTTTGAAGCCTGCTTCTGTAATTGGAACACACTCGTTCTCCATCAGGCCTTGTTCCGTTGCTGATGAGGAACTGGGATCCCCCGCTGAGGGAGAGGCGTTCTGATCTTGGGTATTCTCAGCCTTTTTTGGCCGTTTTCCTCCCTTCGTTATAAATTTATCCATCTGTGGTCTTCATATTTACCGTCTTTGTAATTGGGTTTCTGAGTGGACGTCCAACTTACTGATTCTCAGCGCCGAAATCTGAGCAACCCACTGCACCGACCAAATCAGCGGCGTTAAGATTGATGGTGCATTTCTGACTGCACCAAGAACCGTCGCTCCAAGGCGCCGGCAAAACCGCCTCGCCGGTCACAAGAGTCGCACTGGCGACCCGTGGGGCTCCTCCGCTGGGAATCTCCTGGTGCGTGAGCAACAAGAATTCATGTGAAGGTGTGGCGTCCTCTCCTTCTTTGCGCTTTCATTGGGAGCTACAATCCCGAGCTGCTAGTGATCAGCCATCTTGGATGGACCTTGATTTTTAACAAGTTCCCTGGGGATTCGTGTCCTGTGCCCTAGCCCTAGATCCTAAGCTGGTTCTTTCTCCCTTGATAAGACTGAGAAGTGAAAAGTGATCTGACCCCATGCACAGATTCCAGAGGCGACGGTGCCCCTGGGGACAGGCCGTCCTATGTGCAGATGGAGAAGCTGAGGCTGTGGCCCTGTGGTGAGGGGAGGGCTCTCCTTTGGTCGATCATGGAGGCCTTCTCGAGGGAAGGTGAACACAGCCTGGTCCAGGTCACTTGCTCCACGCTTAGCACTTGGGGAGGCTGGGCTATACTTCCTTGGCCCCAGAGGTCCCCAGGCCAGAGTCCCTGAGCGCTGACAATCTCCTGGGAAGAATGCGTGCCCCTTCTCATCTTCCATCACCCCTGGCCTAAGCCCAAAGGCCTGGCAAACAGGACACTGGTCACATCCCCTCAGCTTTCTGGGCCTTGGTGTTTTGATCTGTGACATGGAGACACCACCTACCTGGGGTGAGATCTCCTGTCAAGAGGCCCACCTGCATGGGACCAGGCCTTGCTGCCGCCATTAGTTCTATGGATGTAGCGGTGGTGGTGATGGTGGTGGCAGTGGTGATTATAATGGTAGCAGCCACAGTAGTTTACTTTTTTCTGTTTTTTTTTTGAGACGGAGTTTCGCTCTTGTGACCCAGGCTGGAGTGCAATGGCGCGATCTCGGCTCACCGCAACCTCCGCCTCCTGGGTTCAGGCAATTCTCCTGCCTCAGCCTCCTGAGTAGCTGGGATTACAGGCACACGCCACCATGCCCAGCTAATTTTTTGTATTTTTAGTAGAGATGGGGTTTCACCATGTCGACCAGGATGGTCTCGATCTCTCGACCTCGTGATCCACCCGCCTCGGCCTCCCAAAGTGCTGGGATTACAGGCTTGAGCCACCGCGCCCGGCCAGCCACAGTAGTTTAATTATTACAGGTTGAATTTCAAAAATCTGAAACCCAAAATCTGAAACATTTTGAACACCAGCATGATACTCCAAGGAAATGCTCACTGGAGCATCTCAGATTCAGGATTTTTGGATTGAGGATGCTCAACTGGCAGGTATTCTGCAAATATCCCCAGGTCTGAAAGAATCCGAAACCCAAAACGTTTCTGGTTCCAAGTATTTCGGATAAGGTCTCCTCAACCTGTATGTGAGTAAATATTAACTCACAAGTAACCCAGTGGTGGCTGCCAGTGAAGCTGACGTCTAGTCTTGGCTCTGCTCTGTGTACCTAAGTGAAGTCACTCAGCCTCTGTGGGCTTCGGTTTCTTCAAACACGCAATGCAGGTTTCTGTGCAGCCCGCGTCTCAGGGCTATTCCAAGGAGCAAGGGGCCAATGGAAGTGAAAGTCTGTTATAAACTGTAATGTGCTATATTCCTGTGAGAGTTGGTGGCTAGAATTCAGAGGAGGAGGCTCCCACATGGGACAGAACACGCAGTGGAGGGTTTCTGCATGAGAGGAGGTAAGAGCCAGACGAGCTCTGAAGAGGGAAAGAGGGGAGACAAAGCTGTCCTGGCCAGCACAGGGTGGGATTTAGTCGGAAGCGCACGTCTAAGAAAGATGCTCTGGGCCGGGGGTGGTGGCTCACACGTGTAATCCCAGCACTTTGAGAGGCCAAGGCTGGTGGATCACCTGGGGTCAGGAGTTTGAGACCAGCCTGGCCAACATGGTGAAACCCCATCTTTACTAAAACTACAAAAATTGACAAGGCGTGGTGGCGTGTGTGTGTAATCCCAGCTACTTGGGAGGCTGAGACAGGAGAATTGTTTGAGCCCGGGAGGTGGGGTTGCCGTGAGCTGAGATAGTGCCACTGCACTCCAGCTTGGACAATACTCTGTCTCAAAAGAAAAAGAAAAAAAGAAAAAGAAAGATGTTCTGGGCAGCTGAAGCCAGGCCCTTTGTAGCCCAGTAACTTGGGCCACCAGCCCTTGTTGCCCATGACCCACCTCTCCCAGCTCAGCCTTGCTGTTTGCAGGCCGATGCCCCGGGCAGTAGGGCTGTAGGAGTTCTGCCTTGTCCCTCCAAGCAGGCCAGGCTGGCCCAGCTGGGAGCAGCTGGCCAGAGAGCAGTGAGCACATCCAGAAACGATCAGAACCAGACAGGGAGGATGCTGGAGCTGCATCCCACAGGGTGAATCAGGCAGAGCAAGCCGGGCAGGTGCGTTAGACGGTAGGCCTGGGAGAGTCGAGGGGAGGGCCTTTTTTTTTTTTTTTTTTTTTTTTTTGAGACGGAGTTTCGCTCTTGTTACCCAGGCTGGAGTGCAATGGTGCGATCTCGGCTCACCGCAACCTCCGCCTCCTGGGCTCAGGCAA